CAAAGAAATTCTAAAAGTTTATGGCAAGAACTTCATATTTGGTAAGTTTTTATTTAATTTAATGTTTTCTATTTTTTATAATTAATGAATAAAAATCGCAAAATTAGGTTATTTGACAGGTGCACTTGGAAATCATATTTTATATATTACTTCACATCTTTAAATAATTATATCAATTGATAATGATAAATTTATTCATTCTTAGTAAATTCCAATAATTTTTTTTTATTTTTATGGTAAATTCTATGTTTTTTTGCATATTTTCTAATGGCTAAAAAATTGACAGTTTTTAGCACCTCATATACTTTAAATTCATATTTTACAATAAATATTTAAATTTTTAATAAAATTCTTTTCATTTCGTGATCTTGATAACTTCAAAATCATTCCTGCAAAGTATTATAATTTTTAAAAATTAGTCAGCGACCACTTTAGTTGAAATATAATGGTTTGACCCTAGAACAATTAATTAATTCATTATTATTATTATTATTATTTAAATCAAGTTGCTATATCTTTATAATTTTAACACTTGTTTCACCCTGCTTTTCTCTATTCTAGTGCCCAGCCATGTTTCGAAAAAAAGCTACCATTCCCTGCAAAGTGTCACAATTCAGATGTTCTTGTTAATAAGATTTCGACATGATTCTTAACATAAAAAATTATTTTTCGTATATCGTTCGTAGATCATTTTAAGTTTAATTTTATTCTGTGTGTATTAAATATTTACTATATTTTTATCCGTGTATACAAAGTGCAATTTTTCATTTGAACTTATTATATTTAACTGCATCCCAAGCAAAAATTTACAACCGGCGCTGTGTTGTGCCAATACTGTCAATTGCTGGCAAAGTACTGACCGCCAATATTGAACCAATACTGACATATGTTTGGGATGAAAACGTTTATTAGTACTGGTCATCAGTAATGGCTTAGTACTGGCGTTCAGTACTGGTTCAATACTGGAATTTAGCAGTAATTCTGTATTTTGCCAATACGGGCAAAATTATAGTAACCAGGAATAAGCCAGCACTGGTAGATATTCAAAATTCAGGGTTCTTTTTGCTTTTTACATTAATTGAGCAGCTGGATCGAAGAACCGACTCTTCGCTCGAACCGCAACCGCTCATACCATTAACTATTTATAATAATAAATTATTATAATAACTTTTAAATTCTTATTTTTTATATTAACATTTTACTCTTTATTTTATTATTCAAATAATTTCTTCAAATACTATAAAATATATACCCAAGAAGCACGTAATATATCCTCAATATCAAGGTAATATTACACGTGAGATTCGTAATATAACGCTGTAATATTACAGTAATCTTACAGTGATCTTAAAATGTCCGCCTCAAGGTAATATTACCGGGAATATTACTGTAATATTAACGGTAATATTACAGTAATATTACAGACTGATTTGAGTTATTCATAAAGCATAAAAAACGTAAATATATTATAAGTCAATTTGGCTTATTGGTAAAACTCTGGACTCGTGTGCTTTGAGTTCGGGGTTCGATTCCCTGGATGGGTAGATTTTTTTCGTAAAGAAATGTTCCCATAATATTACTGTAATATTTTCTTGTAATATTACCTTAATATTACGGTATAATATTACTGCAATATTAGTGTAATATTACCTTAATATTAGCACGTAATATTACAGTAACATTACCGGTAATATTACCTTAAGGCGGATATTTTAAGATCACTGTAAGATTCCTGTAATATTACAACGTTATATTACGAATCTTACACTGAGAAAAATGTTTAGTATCATCTACCAAAGTTTGGTTCTCTCTACCAAATTTTTTATTTGATATATGTGCAACTAATCCGTTTGGTTCGGGCTACTAAATTTTTTCGTTGAATCATTTTGTTCGGTCTACCAAATTTTTTGTTTTGCACAACTAACTTATTGTTTTTAAGCAAACAAAAAATTTAGTTAAATGAAAATTTTTTTTTTGTTTTCTCAACCAACTTATTTTTTTGTTTCACCCTTTTCTCTTTATATAACCTACCTATGCCTACTTAAATTAATTTCTTTCGCGGAAAAAACCTAACACTGCTGGGGCTCGAACCCTCAGATTACGCAACGCTAGTCGAGAACGCTGACCACTACTCTACGAATCCTACTAACAATTTGAGATTAAATCATTTTCACAATGTATAAAAGCTGGAAAAAAACTTTCGTTCTTGTAACAAGTTTTATTTATTTATTTTCACTACACAAACTTTTTTTTTAAAAAAATGTCTGAAAAACATAAAAACTTCAACACTGAAACTTCACGACGCGAACGACATATGGTTAATGTTGACATCCCGTGAATGGGAAGCGACGCCATATTTACGAGAAGAGCGCGTGCGCAATACAGCATGTCAGCTATTTAGTACTGGGAACCAAACTATTTAGTTCGTAAACATGAAAGCTTCAAATATATTTTTTGGTAGAGCCAACTAAACTTCCCGATTTATTGCCACTTTTTATTCTGTTGTGACAACCATATTTTAGTAACGCCAACTAAAAAAGCTCAACTAAATTATTTTCTTATTATTACGAAATTATTTTTCTCAGTGTACATGTAATATTACCTTGATATTGAGGTTATATTACGTGCTTCTTGGGTATTTATTTGTATTTGTTTAAATTACCTAAACTGAATGAAATTATTGGTTAAAGTAGAGTTTATTTGATTCAAATATATTTTTTTAGTGTAAGAAAAATAATTTGAGAACTTTATTAATTATATATTTCTTTTATTAAAAAGTTGTAATATTAAATTAAAATTTCATAATTCCGTTAACGAACGCATTGCAGTAATCGAAAAAAAGTTTAAAAATAATTTTAAAAAAATATGTATGTAAATTTAATTTCTAACCAACAAAAATACACAATTTTCACGTCTATGAAGTTGGCGTTGACGCTCAACGTCGAAAATTATTTTTCACGGGACCAAAAATAACAAATCATTTTTAAAAAAGTTTTGGGTTCACATAATATCTTAAAAAGTATTTCTTTAGGCATTACATATTTGGACCGAAAATCTTTAAAAAAAAATAATTTGACATTTTTGGTCCTGTGAAAAATAATTTTCGGCGCTGAGCGTCAACGCCAACTTCATGGAAGTCAATTTTGATAATTTTTCTGGATACTGGCATTCGGTATTGAATTAATACTGCCCGAGTACTGGTTTGCCGTTACTGTCTCAATAATACTGGAACAGTATTAGAAAATACTGGCATGCCGACAGTTGGCTTGCAGTATTGGCACTGTACAGAATTTAATCCATATCAGTACTGAACCAATACTGGTAAGCCAACTGTCGGCCAGCCAGTATTGGTGTTCTAAATTATATTCAGTATTTTTTTTTATTTAATTTAATTCAATTCAGTATTTAAAAAATTTTAATTATTTTTACTCCATTTTAGATAAATTCTTGTAATGCTATAAAATATTTATCAAAAAATTGAAAAAAAACACTTTTTGTATAGAAATTACAATATATAATCGTTATAACTGATAATAATTTATCTGAATACTCAACTCTCAATACAATATGAATATATAGTATATTTTATTCAAAACTAAAATCTATATCTCAGTTCCTTCTTTGCAGAAAATATTCATTGACTGGAAGTACCGAAACAATGTTTTATGCTCTTTTTAAAGCGTACTTTAAATTTTTCATTTCATAATTGGTCTGGCTTTAATGTTTTGCCTCGTGATGCCCTTTAAAAATTTATTCTCTACAATCATTCGCAGCATTTAACCTTTCAATTTATTTTTTCATTTTTTTTTTTTTTCATTTTTTACAAGTTAACATCAGGTAATATAATTTACTGCTTACAATAATAATTTATTATTCAATCACCTAGTAAGCAACATGCATTTTATATTATTATTGAATAGATTATTACAAGCGCTGCGAACGGAATAAATCCAATTAGTGATTATTCTTATGTAAGAGAGGAAAGAATATAATTTTTAAATTCATTAAAAAAAAAAAGAAAGAAATTCATGAAACTGTGATTCATTTTAATTTTATTCTACTTTCATTTCAGAGGAAATTTTATATTAATTAATTATGACGATAATTATTATTTCTTATAATCCAATTATTAATGCTTTAGTAAATAATGTAAAATATATATGAAAAAACCAAATTATTGCTTGAAGTATATTATAAGAAAATGTATGTATTTGTATATATAGTTAATGGAAATTGAATTTATCGTCAATCTGAAAAGAAATAATATTCAAGTACATACGTATGGCAAATATGTGAAGCACAAAAAGTCAGTGATTTTTACAGCCACTACAAGCATAAATATATATATATATATATATATATATTTTTTTTTAAGACGGAAATTGAATTTTCGGTCTATTTTTTATGTAACCTTTTGATAAACTCGAAAACTTCAAAAGATATGAGTTTACAACTTTAGAAATAAATCTTTCGTTTTGATAGCTTAGATCCATATAATATAAAGTTAGACTAAAAATTTTATCGGAAACAACAAAAAATTTACTTAAATGTATACGAGCAATGCCTTTTTGTACAATTGTTAGTAAAAATAAGAAATTATAAAAAAAAATGTAGGAAAAAATAAAATTAAATAATTTTTAAATCATAAAAGATATTGTTTTTTAGGGCAAGAAACAAAAAAAAATTTTGTATTCTAAAACATTCTAAATTACTGCAATATAATCAAAAAGAAATAAACTTTTCAGTAATCCCTAATCCTCGATTTGAGATTAAACAGGTTATGTCAAGTTAGGTCTTTAAAATACCGAATATAATTTAATAAAAAAAAAAGTAAAACAGAATTTAAAATTAAATAAAATTATTTATTAATTAATAAAATTAAATCAAATTTGAAACAAAAAGCAAATATTAAAATATTGTCAAAATGTTTATTTTTTTTTTTTTTATTTGTATTTCTGGAATATATCAATAAAAGATTGTTTCATATTTTTATGTTTCAGTGTGATCCTGGTGTAGCGGTTGATCGTTTTTTTCATGCAATTTACTCCTCAAACAAAAATAGTTTGATGCCCCTTCTTCTTGGTACGGCATGTTCGGAAGTCTCTGAAACCTTGGCAAAAATTGTTCCCTATTGGAACGTCGTTCAAGTTTCTTTTGGGTCAACGACACCTGCTCTCTCAGATCCGACAGAATTTCCACTTTTCATACGAACCGTTGCTCCCGACTCGAGTCATAATTCTGCAAGAATAGCTCTCATCAAACATTTTGGCTGGGACACAGTTTCCGCTTTTTCACAAAATGGAGATATGTATGCTTTAGTAAGTATAACCAAAAAAAAAAAAAATTATTACATAAATAATATACACAATTTAGATAACTCCAGGCCTCGGATTATACGACTTTTTTGACTTTTTTTTAAATTTTTTAATAAAATACGTTTTTTCAGTATATAATGCAGATCTTCTTCAGATTTTCTTTATTTCAATTATTTAATAAATTTTGAATTAAACTTCTTCAATAAATAAATTATTTTTAATAATTTTAATGAAATTCTTCACAAATTCCATTATTTTAATAATTATTTTTCAATTAAAATGTTTATGAAATTTAATATATGCAATTGTACAATTTCAAAAAAAAAATTATCAAAAGTTTTTAAATCAAAATCATTTGAAATTTAATTATTTGCAAAAATTTCAATTGTTTTTAATGATTTTTATAATATTCTTCAAAAATTCAATTATCTAAAAGCATTTTTCAATTAAAAACTTTTGGAATTCAATTTTTGTATGTAATTTCTAATAAATTCTTCATCAACAGAAATCACTAGAAATTTCTCTTATTATAATAATTGTCTGAAATTTATCAAAATCTTTTGAAATCTAATTATTTTCAATAATTTCAATTTAAAAGCTTCTAAAATTTAATTATTTCTAAAATTTTTCATCTAAAAGTTTTTCCAATTTTAATAATTTCAATAATAACTCTCTTGAAATTCAATTATTTAAATTGATTTTTATAATATTCTTCGAAAATTCAACTATCTGAAAGCATTTTTCACTTAAAAAGTTTTCAAATTATTGTATTTTTGTCTGCAATTTCTAATAAATTTTTTAGTAACAGAAATTATCAATTTTTAATTAAAAATCACTTGATATTCAATTAATTTCAAAAATCTAAATTGTAAATCTTTAGAAATTTAATTACTTTTAAAGAATGTTATCTAAAATTATTTGATAAATTATTTTTAGTTCTATAAAATTGAATTATTGTCTGAATGTTAACAAAATCTTTTGAAATTTAATTATTTTGAAAAATTTTAACTTTTAACTCTTGCAAAATTAATATTTAAAAAAAATTTTTATTTAAAAATCTGTAAAAATTGATTAAGTACTGTCTGAAATTTTATTGACCATCAAAACTAAAAACTATGACAAAATTTTTAATTCGAATAAATTGCTTAAATCAGACTTGAAAAAATTATAAAATTGGAATTTTAAGAAATTTTTTTAGAAATTTGTCCTATTTAAATAAAATTTTGAAAATTTGTCTTACAATTAGTTCGTTTCTGAAATATTCGAAATAAATTTTCTTGATAATATTTTTGTAGAATTATTCTCATTATAGAATTAATAAAATGAATTTAATATCTAATAACATTAGTTATTTAAAGTAAAATATTTATTAACCAATTAAATTTTGTTAAAATAAAAAAAATCTACTTTTTTGGAATATAAATCGACTAAATCGATTTTTTTTTGTGCCTTAAAGTTGATCCGAGGCCTGTAACTCTATAAAGGGAACTATTTTATAAATAATTTTAATGCAATTGATTCGCGACGCATGATTAAGTTCTAAATATCAATAAGTTGGAATTTTATTTTAATAAAATTTCATTAGATATAATTTTTATTAATTTCAATTTTATTTGTTTGAATTATTATTTTGTAGAATTTTCATTAAACCGATTTTCTGTATTACAGAATTTTTATATAACCGAAAATTCACTTCACAGAATTATCATTTGTTCGAGTTTTTATTTAACATAATTTCGGACAATAGACAATTCTATGCAATTAAATTCTACCTAATAAAATTTCAGTTTAATGGCTATTATTTTAAATGAAAATTCGAGCAAATAAAATATATGACAAATGAAAATGAAAACAAATAAAAAATATGACAAATGAAAACGAAAACAAATAAAAATTCTGTGAAGTGAATTTTCGGTTATATAAAAATTATGTAAGAAAATCGGCTTAATGAAAATTCTCCAAAATAATAATTCGAACAAAAAAAAATTGAAATTAATAAAAATTATATCTAATGAAATTTTATTAAAATAAAATTCCAACAATTGATATTTAGAACTTAATCATGCGTGCCATTTTATTCTTACATTTATTATATGGGGCACTCCACGTGAGATTTTCATTCAAATTTTTTTTTACTGAAACAATTTTTTTCAAAATCTTTATGGAAAATAAAAAAATATATTTTTTTTGTATTTGAAAAAAATTATGGCAGTTATGGTATACTAAAAGTTAAAAATAATATTATATATTATTTTTGTAAATTGATGAAAATATTTGAATTTGAAATTTATCTCGCATTTTTTGCATTAAATCACAGAAAAAGATAAACGATTAAAAGAACTTGCAACAAACGGAACGTAATAAAATACATTCATTAGTTCGCAATTCTTCTTTCCTTTGGTTTTGTAACCTAATTTTCTTTACTCTTTTAATTTATTTTAAGTCAATATGAAATGTCAAATTAAAGTATATAGTAAAAATAATATAAAATTAATTTAGCATTTATTTGAATCTTAAAAAAAGAATTTTAACTTTTTATAATTTATTATACACTTTAAATGTAAATATTCATTAAATTAAGAAATTTTCAATTAGAACCCATTAATATTTTGTGCGTTATAACGTTTTTAAAAATTTTTATTTTTTAATTTTATAAAAAAAAATTTTTTAATTTTGAAAATCTTCTATTATATTAAGTTAACAAATTTCGAAAAACGACACCGACCCCGTGACCTCGACACCGTCCTTGAAAAATCTATTTTCAATTATTTTCAAATAAATCAAAATACTTTGCATATATGCTTTTAGAAATTCTTACAAACTATTTTTATGTAACATCTTTTTTCAATTTTAACTCGAAAAAGGATTATTTTGCAATTTCATCCCGAAAAAGGGTTATTTTGCAATTTTTAAAGAATTTTTTGATTTTTTCAATTTTTTATTATTATTTTTTATTATTTATTGTTGTTTTTTCAATTTTTAGTTAGTAACCTATAATATTGTGTCTAATTTTAAGTGTCATTAAAATCAAATGTTTTTAACTTAATAATTTTAACATTTCTTAATTTAAAACGAAACATTTTCTATTATATTAAGTTAACAAATTTCGAAAAACGACACCGACCCCGTGACCTCGACACCGTCCTTGAAAAATCTATTTTCAATTATTTTCAAATAAATCAAAATACTTTGCATATATGCTTTTAGAAAATCTTACAAACTATTTTTATGTAACATCTTTTTTCAATTTTAAGATAAATTTTATACAATATTAATAAGATATTAATTTAAAACATAAATTATATATATAATATACACAAACTACAATAAGTAAACAACAATAAGTACAATTTTAACCGAGCGAGCGTTAGCGAGCGAGGAATACATCGCTAGTTATAAATAAATTTTTAAGAATTGATAAAAATTTTAAATTAAATTTAAAAAAAATTATTTTTGTATTCAAAAATTTTCAGTTCTTCTGTTCTCTCTAAATCTGAATTAGTAAAAATGTTTACTAATTTGAATTAGTGACTCACTTTTTTCTTCTGAATTAGTTAAATTTTACTAATTGATAGTAAAAGTTACTAATAATTTAGTAAAATTTTACTAATTCAGAAGCAAAAAGTGAGTCACTAATTCAAATTAGTAAACATTTTTACTAATTCAGATTTAGAGAGTTCAATAAAAGTTTTCTCACAGCTCGTTGGTAAATTCAGTAGTTATGATCAATGAATTGTCAGACAGGAATGTATATACCCATCGCGCTATACAGTTTCATAAAAAAGTTAATTAAATAGTTATTTTTGTTTTTATTTTTTATTTAATTTTTCAATATATATTCCTTTCTTCTTGTTCTAATTATTATTATTATTATTTACATAAAGTAAGATTATTTTTTTGGAAACAATTTTTTACACTAATTTTTAAATTTAAACTAGTTAAACATAACTAATTTGATAGTAAAAAGTCAGTTACTAATTTAAATAGTCATATTTCTATTTACTAATCTTTTAGTTAAAAATAACGAATTATTAGTTAAATTCAGTTTTCAGTTATTTTTCCACTGAAAATGAATTACTTTTTACTAATAATTAATTATTTTTTTACTATTTGCTGAAGCAACAAGGTGTTCAATTCATGACCATTTAGCTTCCTCATCATGATACACTTATATCATAAAAAAAAATATCATTAAAAAATGATATAATTTATAGATTTTAAGTAAAATATAGACTTTATATAGATTAATCAATTTGTTTTAATGCTGGAAATCAGTTTTTTGGAAAAAAAATTATATTTACAGTGTAAAAAAAATTTTTGGTTAAAAAACGTATTTTCGAATTTTTGAAAAAGTAACATAAAAAAAAATTATTTGGATATTTTTGGAAATTCTTGTGTCTGATTTTATTGATGACTGTAATAAGCCTATAAAATTTCAGGACAATCCATCGAAGTGTATTAGAGATAATTTGTACACAATATTTTGTGGCATACACACACACATATACATCCGGATATTTGTTTAAAACTTCAAATATATGCATTCTAGATAAAAATAAGCCCATATAACCCATTTTTAAAAAATCGAAAATCGTCACGAATACAAAGCTTCCTCGTGAGGAGAGGAAGCAAAAGTTAGTCAATATTTTACTAACATTTAGCTATTTTTAACTAATTTATATTTAGAGAGTAACAATAATAAAAAATTATTTAAATAATTTCAAAATAATCTATATTAATATAGTATTTAAATTTAAAAATTATTTATACTACATATTAATTACAAATGATCAATATGTTCATTGTCTAATTATTACCTAATTAAATCATATTCATTTTGAAATTCTACTCTATCTATGAAACAAATCGATATTTAATTTAATGTAAAAAACTTTATGATAAACACGAAAACAGTACGTCTATATAATTTTGATATAAAATTATTGTTTAATATACAATTCTATTGGATCAATGAATAATATTATCTTATTTTAAAGTTTTGTTAATATTGTGTCATAATTTTCACAAATTTATTTACAATGTAAAGTCTAGAAAAATATTTTTATAATATTTAATTTATGAATGAAGAATTTTTGTTTATTATTATTTATATAAAGAAAATAATAGACTATAATTTTTTTATGAAAGAAAATATAAAAATAAAACAAATCTCCAATTTCCAGAAGCTTAGGAATGCACATTTGCCATTTGATAGGAACTGCTTACTAACCTAACCAGCGAAAATGCTTTGCATTCCCTTTGGAGAATTTAGCATGTCCTCCTTTACAAGTGCGGAAAGGTCACTGAGGTTGGCTCTGAATAAAGCCACCAGTTGGATTCTATTCGAATAGGAATTATGCTTTTTCGAAACTTGTGTGCACATCTTCCTCTCTCTCTCTCTCTCTTTTGTATATATTCTGATCTCGTTTTGTTACAGGCTGTGAACGATCTGGTCACAGAATTGGAACAGGCAAACATCACGTGCACCGCGACCATCACGTTCGCTGAAAATGATTATAAGGAACAGCTGCGAACCCTCAAGGTATGATATGTAAGATAATAGCCATTTCTGATATTATATTTATAGAATAATAGGAATGTAATAATTCAAAAATTTTTCCGAATTCTTCAACACTGAAAAAAAAATTATTTTTCGTTTTGAAAAAAAGATTCCTCTTTTTGATATATTACCTACAATTTTTTTATTATAGATAATTATTAATTAGCTTGTTTAGAATAGTCGAGAATTATATGTTTCAATTAATTATATTATTATTCAATTCTCGATGAAAAGGTTATTTATTTAGAGTTTTTTTGTTTGAAACGCAAATTTGAATTTGAATTGTTTTCGCGCCACGGCGCAGCAGTCGACGATAGCTGGTGTGTGCGCGCGCGCGTTCTACTGGTTAGGTTAGGCAAACATTTTCAGTAACCGGCGTCCCGGCGAGAAACGTGCTAGTGAAACCCTGGCTACACGGAGAGAAATTTCTTACTTTAAACGCTCCAATACTATACTAGCGATTTTGGTATGTCCATTTTCTTAACAAAAACGCTTAAAGTTATCCTAAAATAGTTCCGAAAATTCTCAAGCGTTAAAAGATCACGGTATTAACGTTATTAGTAGCAACTTTATGGCTCTATTTCATGAATGACGAGTGAATATAGTTCCCCTTTCTGCCGTGCGAGATTCGTTCAAGGGACATACTAATATAGCGTTAACGTGGAGCGATATTTCAATTAGTCGTCTGTGTCCAGTGTAGACCTATAAATATTATATATATAATTAAAAATTGTTTATAAAGTAATAAATTTCTTACATCAAAAAAATATATATAAATTTAAATAATTACCTATTTTTTAAATTAAAAAATAACTAATAATAATAAAGCAGTATATTAAAAAACGCTAAAATTCTAAATTTTCAGAAAATATACACATAAAAAGAAAAATGTAATTTTTATGGAAAGGAAAATATTTTTATTAGGTTCAAATGTTTTGCTTAAAATTTACCGCGTAGAGATTAGGATTATTGATTGATTTCGATTATAATTGTATATTATTATTTTTATATATTGTTTATAATTTCATATTGATATATACTTTATTGTAGATAAAGTACATATACTGTAAACATATACTGTAAAAAAATATTGTAAATTTACATGGTCATGTATTCTTCTAACCTCAAAACAGTAAATTCGCTTACTATACAGCTTGTAAGCACTTGTAAGTTACTCGCTCAACGTTGACGCGATATTCGTATGTGCCTCGAACGAATCTCGCACGGCAGAGAGGGGAACTATATTCACTCGTCATTCGTGAAATAGAGCCATTAAGTTGCTACGAATATAGAAGAATCAACGACACTTTATGTCTCCAGAACAACTCGAACTATTTTAGTATGCCCAAGAGTAGTTTTGGTATAAATTTTATGCTACTAACGCCGTAGCAGTTGTTTTACTAAATTAGTAAGTCGTTTTCATACGAAAACAGTAAGAAATTTCTCTCCGTGTAGTTTTTCCTTTTATGGATTTTAAGGTTTTGTTAAAAAAAAAGGTGAGTCAAATAAGGTAAAAGCACCAGTACCTGGACGCTATTGAAGGGGTCTCAAATTTATTTGTGTTTTGTACTAAGATAATTCAATATAATTGATTTAATATTTGTATTTTAGTTTTATTTACCTTTAAAAAATACTAATTAGACAAAATTATTAATAATAGATGTTTTAATTAAATTAAAATATTAAAAAATATAATTAAACTAATTATATTAATTAAATTAATTAAACTGATTGAGTTAATTGAATTAAATCTTTGTCCAACTATTCGGGTACAACATATAAAGCGCTAGGTTAACTTGGACAGTCAATTCAGACAGAATTCAGAGTAATTAATTATTAAATTGTAATTAATTTATTTATTTTGATTAATTGGTAAACTAATTAACGTAATTAAAATGTAATTAAAGTAAATAAATTAATTATTTGACTTGTTAATTGAATTTAATCATTGTCCAACTATTGGGTACGATATATAATATATGTGTACGTCCGCACGAAAAGGGACCACTTTGTCGATTACAATAACGATTATTTTTGCGTGAACATTAATGCAAATATCGCCCTTATGAAAGAAACTAAAGTGGTCCCTTTTCATGCGGACGTACACATATATTTATAAGCGACAGGTTAACGTGGACAGCGTTTTTAGAAAAATTGTTTTATACATTTTTTTTACTCCTATTTTATTTTGCCTAAAAGCTAATTATCTAAATAGTATCTCAAATTTTTTTTTACTTAATTTGAGGGATATTTTAATTTCTTTTTGCTACTGTCCATCTGCTGGTTCCAATTTTTGCTTTGTCCAGGTACTGGTGCTTTTACCTTATGCGATATTTGTAAAAATGTTTATTTATGAGCCAAAAGTTCAGAACATTCAAATGAAGGAAATATTTTTTTTCAATCTAGGTATAAATTATTAAAAATTATGATGGCAATGTAAAATAAAACAGTAAATTAAACAATAATTAATAATTTCTTTTTAGATATTTAAAATAATATTTTGTAATAAAATTCATACTTAAAAAAATTGCAAAAAAAAATTCGATCATTTGAACGTTCAAAACTTTTGGCTCATGTATATTTAAAAAAAAACTTTTAAAATTAATGCATTTTTAAGGAAGTTATGAGTATTCAAAAATTAAAATTCATTAAAATTCTGAAATTTTGAAAAATCCATATCTCGAAAATGGCTTGCTAAAAAAATTGGAAAAAAATCATGAAAGCTAGTCTCAATTAGTACTAAAAGAAAAAAAAGTTTCAAAAAAAATCGGAGAGAATTTGGCGTGCGGAATACATCATATGTATTTTTTTTCTCTTAAATATTAACATAGAATTTGTTTATTTATATCAGTTTCGATAGCTTTTTCGATGGTCTTTCGATTGGTAATATGCATATTCGAAAAAAAAATTTTTGACCCAAAAAAAATGAAGCTCAAAAATAAATTTGACTTTTTCCGGGTGAAAGGTACGATTCAATATAAATACAATTTATTTCAAATAAAAATTATTCGGTTCAAGTAAATTAGCCAAGTAACCGATTATTTGAATCCGATTTAAAAGAAATTTCGAGATTTAAATCTAAAAAAAAAAATTTACTTTATTTTGTAAAAACAAAGTAATACATTCTTACTAAATGAGAATGTAAAAATTTATGGAAATTTCAATTGGAATTTTGACAAATTTTCTAATCAGAATTTCCGATCGAAATTTCCAATTGGAATTTTCCGAGAATCATTCGACGTGAAATGGAGATAGAAAAGAGCACGTGAGTAATGAGATAAGTGGGGTACTTGACGGTACTAAATATTTCGCAAAGATTAGGAGAAGAGAGCACGGAGATTACGTCACTAAGACGACGATAATCCGATCAATTAGAAAATGACACGATGCTGGTCATTAAACCTTATCCTCGAAAAGTAGATGGATCCTACAAAATGTAATAGCTCTGGGGACAGCTCTAATCTTTATAAACAAAAAAAATAGCATCAATTTGGCAGTTTGAAAGAGTCGAACCTTTTTAAAAAGGATCTCGAGCTTCTATTGGTCTATTAGAGTTGGATAAAAGTGGCCACAACATTTATATGATCAATGATTAGAAAAGTTTTTCTCGATTCTAAAGTTAATTGTAGTTTTATTTTTGTTATTTATTAAATAATTAATTTAAAAAATTAAATTAATAACAAAATATTTATTATAAATTTTTACATATTAATAAAAAAAAAAATTAATAGAAGAAAGGACAGTAGGGAAAATATAAATTATATTCTACTTTTAATAATAATGTAATTATAAGAAATTCCAACATACCATCAAAATGTAGCATTTTATACCAATTACTCAAAATTACTCAACAATCATAAAGTAGTTTTTTATTTATCATAAATTGTAAAGAAACTTTTTAATTTACTTGCAGGACTTGGATACGAGAATAATCATTGGAAGTTTTTCGCCTAGGTTAGCGCCGCACGTTTTTTGCGAGGTGAGTTGAATTCATAATACTCTGTAATTAGTTTCCAAAGTTTTGAGTTACTAAATTAACTGATTAAATATTGCAAGAACCAGTGATTTTAAGAAAAAAAAAAAAAATATGCAAAATAATTGAAATGAGGGAATTTATTTTTTCTACATAGAAAAATAAAATTGCCTACATTTTAATTATTAACATATATATGTAATATTGAATATATGAAAATATAGAATAATGTGAAAATGTATAGGAGATAAATTCCTGTTAAATGAATAATTGCACTAAATGTCAGTTTAAAATAAGTTGCGTCAAATATTATGATTTATAATTTGTATTAACGTCTCCTATAATTTATTACGTAATGAGCACATATTGACACATACACACACATACATAGGGGAGATTTTGATTTTATGGTTTTAATATTATTACCACTGGTCCAGTGTGCTCCATGTGTGCTACCTGTCCAATGCAGGTAGTAAATTTAAGTGGACCAATGAATACCAGAGACAGATGGTTGAGTATCTCATAAATAGCAGTTTCTCCAAAGTTAAAATAAATAAAAATATAAATTTTTTTAAAATAAATTTAATATAAAAATCACAAATTTATTATTTAAATTAATCAGCAAATAATTAGTTACAATTATATATTACGTCAAATGCAACTATCTTGTACCTAAATCATCCGTCTAAGATGATATAATAGTATGAGATGATTCAAAGATTGTTCACTGTAGCGAAAAGGAGAACAGTCAAATATTGTAAAAAATTAATTGAAATTTAATATCATCTCAATTACATTTGAGTATATTTCCCTTTTTTTTTTATTGATGGAACAATTTTTCAATCCCTTTGGAATTAATATTTGCGAAAGATTGCATTAATTAATAACTGCGAAGTCAAAGTATGCAAAAAAGCAAAAATATTTCAGTGTTTTTATTTATTATCTGCAAAATGTTGATTTTAACTGGGTCAAATATAATTACATCTCTTGTTTCATCTATCGCGGTTTGCTGACTTTTCCTTTTTCTGTTTTAGTTTTTTTTTTTTTTTTTTTTTTTTTTTTTTTTTTTTTTTTTTTTTTTTGGTATTGTTGTGCTTTCTGTTGATTTTGATTGAAGTATGCAGTCAATGAATTTAAATACTTTTCATCTGTAATTGAATTTTTCAAGTATCCAAGGAATAGATTTCATTTTCTCTCTTCACACATACACACTCGAGAATAAATAAAATTACAAAATACCAAAATTTAGTTTTATGGTGAGAATCACGGAAACCCACTGTGATGTTTATTGACAAGGAAAGTTTATCTCTTAAAAAAAAGGAGAGAAACAGTTTTCATATTGCAAAAATTATGCAAAATTTAAAAACGGTTGAACATTTTTATCTCATTCTATATATATTCATCAAATATGAATTTTCGTTAATGATTATGTGGAATATAAATTTTTTTTAAATATGAATTTATATATGTTAGCATAGCCTCAGGTTAATTGTTGAAAATTTAATAAAATATATGAAAAATTTCATTCCCTTAAGGGATTTATTATCGTGCAGTATTATTTACAGCTGGTGAAAGTTCACAGCAAATAAACCATAATTTCTCTAAAACATGGTATAAAAAAAAGAATGAAATTACACACACGCTAAACGATATGCACGATCCAATAACTAAGCGATCACCCATACCCATTGATATCCAGATATCGAAAGCTATTGGATTAGTGCCACTTTCAACCATAATGGCTTCACGTGAGACAAATCGATTGATTTGTTTGCAATATTATTTGATTTTAATGGAAGATAACGTACGATAGGGCAAATATTTGCATGACAATAATATTTAAAGAATGTGTGATACTATTAATAAATAAAATTTTAACAACATTTCTTTCACAAATTTTTACTTACGATAACTAATAGATACCAGTTATAAAAATTTATAAATTAAAATCTAGAATTTCACAAAAAAAAATTGTAAACTTAAACGTAATTTTATTTTCATTCTATGAAGTAATTGTTTTTTTTTTGTAAAGGAATTCAAAGATTTGTCACATATGGGTAGAGAATAAGAGTCACATTATTATAAAAATTATTTAATTACAATTTTATTATTTATTGGCATATTAATTATAATTTTTTTAATTAAAGGCATCAATATCGATATTTGAGACTTGTGGAAGAAATCAATTTTGGACACATCATAAGAGTGGTAATTGCGGTACCCTCAAAAATTGTTTAAACCGGAATTCTACTATTTTTTCCGCTCCGTACTTTGAGACTTTGTGTTTCAAACATTAGAATTTTTAATACCAAAGTCGACACCAAAGTTTAATATGGTACCATTTCAGAATAAGAGGAAACGCGGGATAGGGTTTATTTTATTTTTTTATTGTATCAAAAAATGGTATGGTTTATATTAAATTTCAATGAAAAATTTACAAAAAATAAAGATCAGAAACACCTAATCTAAATATACTATTAATCCAAAAAATTTTTTTTTAACCTTTCGTAAATGTTCGGGAACACTAATAGTATTTCATATGGACCATACTAATTTTCTGTTTTACAAATTTAAATACACTGTTTACTGAAAATTCAAATAATTTACTCTTTTACCCTAAATTGAAATGTTACTGTATTAAATTGTCAAACAAAAAATCTTTCACAATGCGAAAATTTATTGTTTACGCTCTGTATCTCACAGATTATAAACTAAAGAATTCAGTCATTGTAAAAATTACTTGATTAATGCTTGAATTGATAAAGTAAGGCAAAATTTTATCACACGTTTAGGTTTAGAAAAGATCTCATTAAGAAAGACAACGCATATCAATTAAAATAATTAAAAACATCAATATTGATGATTGTGAAGAAATCAAAATTGAAACAAATCATCAAAAAAATAATTGGACTAACTCCAAAAGTAGTTCAAACCGAGATTCTACTATTTTTTCGTCTTCACATTTTCAAATTGTTAAATTAAGAGGCGCCTACTTTATCGAATCAAAAAAATTGATTTTTTAGAAGCATTCTTAACTGAAGGTTCAATTATATCTGAAAATATGCTCCTAAAATATTAGATCAAAATAAAAAGTATTTTTATATTATTAAACTTATTAAATTCACCAATTAATTAAAATTACAACTTTCTAATGTAGGCGCCCCCTTTAAAAGCATTATACAATTGATAATTGTCGCGAGATAAATTTCAATAATTTAAATTGCAAATTAAATTTAATAATAATTATTACTTTTAATTCGATTAAAGCTTCAAATAATTAAAATTAAATTCAACTTACAATTCAGAAAAAAAAATGATAATTAAGAATTAGAGATTGTAAAAGTATGACATTAAAATGGAATTTTCTGTCAAAAGCGACAGTTGGATTTGTTAAATTGGGACATTTGTAAAGCGAGACTGTCTCATTAACCTGGTCCGAATTCGATTTTCTGTCACAAAAGGTCTGACCACTTTAGCGGTGAAATCAAGTGAAACAATGGCAGGAATTGCGGTAACCTATCGACCATCGGTTGACCGATAAGCGGATAAACAAATTGATTAATAACGATGCCAGAAGATTGCTTACCATACAGATTGAAATACATACCATAACGATGTTTATCTCTGATAATTATTTTCAGTTCTGAAAATTAACTAATATTATTAAATATATTTATAATTTTTAATACCTAATTTAATGTTACTTTAAAAAAATATTATTTATTTAATAATCTCAAATTTATTATAGTAAAAATAGTAAAGGAAATAATTTTTCCTAGATAATGAAAAGTTCACAGTGAATATAAAAATTAAGACCTATGTAGTAAATGAGATTGTCTATTTTTAAAAAATAAAAAACAATGAAACCTTACTGAAATCGATTGTTTTGTTCCAAAATGTAGGACTGGGAATCAGCTCTTTTACCCGACATAAACGTCCTATTTTTCAGTCTTTGGTCGTAAACGACTCTGAAGTACCTTTACCTGAGTGAAAGAACTATTATGATGCTTAAAGTGAGTAGAATGAGGGGAAAAAAACGATTAAGAGGTTGGGGAGAATGACGATACTGGCAAAGAGTCAGTCACAGGAACTACATGTATGTATACCTATACGTATATGTTTCAGGAAACCTAGATAAAAGGTGTACTTCTCCACCGCCTTCGTATCATTACTCTTCTCTGGCACCTTCATCTCCTACACTTGTCAGCTATTAATATTTCTGAATTTTCTGTCACTTTTTAGAAATACTGTATATAAATTTATTAATTTAAAACATTTCTTAAATCCACATATTGGTTAATACTCAACTAAGACAGAGAAAAAATCGATTTAGTTTTTAATGACCAGCCTCATATATCACTTTATATCCCTACTGATATTATTTTACATCAGCATTGCAGTTCTCAAAAGACAAATTTACTTTACAAATAAATTATATTCATACTCAATTTTGAATATTAAATCAAGTGAGTATAGGTTACGCATAATAATTGGCTATATGCAAGTACACATAGAGGTCATCTTGTGTTGTATAAATTTTGCCTTACTATCAAGCACGCAGTTACAAACACAATTTAAAGAGAACTAGAAAAATTCTTACAAAAAAAAATTTAAGTCTTTAAATACAAATTTATAGTAAAATTGCCATACTTATAACTATACAATTTGTATTAAAATTAACGTGACAAAAATTTTAGTAACAGGATCTTCATGACGGTAATTTCTAATAATAGGTTACGCACGGATATTTGCATATTAATCCGTTGCATCGTTCAATATATGATCTAATCTGAAAATGTATTATAATATGTATTTCTATTTTAATTTAATAGCACTTTAGATTTATACTGTAATAAACTATAGGAAAATTAAATTAAAATTAATTTTAAACAAAACATAATATTTGAATATTTAGATAATTTTTTTTATTTTCTCAACAAAAATAAGATGAAATAATTTATAAAAAAAAAAAAAGATTTTTTAAATAATACAATGGAGAATATATTCTAATATTCTAGGCTTGGAAATTGGGTATGCACGGAGGAGATTACGCTTGGATCTTGCCAGGAGACACGATAGACCTATCAGGAATGACAGGCGATTGGTGGCACATCAGACCAGACAACTGTTCTCCATCTCAACTATTACAAACCTTGGATGGTCTCATTATTGTAAAGAGCCACGGAGCGATATTGAGTGACGATATTAGCCATTCAGGATTGGTAATTACTTAAAATTTCTTCTTACCTATTATAATTTAAATATCTCATATTTAAATCTCGTATATTTAATATTCATTCTCTTTTTTTTTTATTCATATTCGCAAATATTATATCTGTTTTAAAATAAGGTCACTTGAAATTTTCATTGCGAGAATAATACACTGTAAAATTATTTCCAACAAACTTTTAAATAAGTGATACTATGTAAATTGTATCTCAATTTTCATCTAATACCACAATAAACAGTAATTGGGGTGTCGCAGTATAATAATTAACGTACGTTTATTAGATACAGTAAATGAAACCAATTTGCTTGGTTATATATGTTTTAATGTACGTTGACTTTCCATTTATGTAAAAGTTTCATATACAAATTACCACTGCAAAACCCATATTTCTAGGGAAAATATTATTATGCGTATAGGAAAGATTCTAATTTTGATATTATAAATTTTGAAACTTCAATTTTGTAGGAATTTATAACAATGGATAGTATATTAAGTTCTAAAACTCATTTGTTAGAATTTTCATTTTATGAAATTTCATTTGTCATAATTATTTTTGAGCCGAATTTTTATTTTTTCGAATTAGTATTTTGCAGAATTTTCATCAAACCGATTTTCTATATTAGGGGAATAGTGTCAGGGTTGGACACTTGGCTTTTTTTAAATAAAAACACTAGCGCCACCTGTGTGCATACGTGACGAATCTTCTAGTAGTGTAACCTAACTTTTTGTGGCATTACATTTTTGGAGAATCAAAAGTAGCGTCTCTTGTGACTTCGGTGCAATCGAAGAGACAAAAAAAGTTTTGTTTGACTTGTGAATAAACCTAAAAAATGTGTAAAAAAAGCAAGAATTCGGCAAGGTAAGCTTATTGAATGTATTGTGGGGTACATAATTTAAGAAGAAAAAAAGTGAAAAATCGAATCGCGACACATGTCTTGGTTATGGTTAGCACAATTCGAAAATGATGCTTCTAGTTAGGGTTGGACACCCATATTAATGATGAATTTGACACAATTTATAAATAAATTTTATTTTATTGATATTTCAGTGCAAAATTGTGCCAAAGATATTAGAAAAATAATACTTAAATTGTATAAATTTTGTTCATCATTTCATTAAGTTATTTGGAACAATAAAGCGTTATTTTTTGTAATTTGAGTTCATTCCTTTTTTAAACTCATGAAGCTTTACAATTTGTAAACAATAAGTAAAGATAAACATGAAAAAATAAGAATAAAAACATTACAAATGTTATTTTACGTTTCCATATAACCGATTTTACATACTAGAGAATTTTTTACTTAACCGAAAAATCATTTAACAGAATTTCTAATTGATAGAATTTTCATTTGTCCGAAATTACAAATAGCCGAACAAGCAATCGACAGAAAGATTTCGGCGCGATTTTTAAAATCAACCAATTACAATTTTATGGATAATTTTTGATTGGTTGATTTAAAAATTGCGCCAAAATCTTTCTGTCGATTATTTGTTCGGCCATTTGCAATTTCGGACAAATGAAAATTCTATCAATTAGAAAATCTGTTAAATGATTTTTCAGTTGAGTATAAAAATGCAATGAAATTTTACCCAATGAAAATTCTTTAACCCCTTGGCTGTCGACAAGATTTCCACTGTTTGGGCCAAAAGTGTATTGAAAAAAATTTTAACGGATTTTCATGAAACTTGGTATACTAAAGTTTTTAGGTTTGCTGATTACAAATCTGACATCAGTTTTTCAAAATTCAAAATGGTGGTTTTGCGCATATATGCATCAGCGAGAGACAACGGGTTAAAATGCCTATTATGTTAAATGAAAATTCGAAAAAATAAAAATTCTGTAAAGTGAATTTTCGATTACATAAAAATTTTGTAATACAGAAAATCGTTTTGAAGAAAATTCTGCAAAATACTAATTCGAACAAATAAAAATTCGTCTCAAAAATAATTATGACAAATGAAATTCCATAAAATGAAAATTCTAACTTATGATTTTTAGAATATAATCAATAATCATGCGTCCCATATATACGTATAATATATGAAATTAATTAATTAAAATGAGTCAACTGGTCAGAAATAAAAGAAATCGGATTTCAATTCAATCGAATTGGTTATAGCAGAAGGCTGAATTGCTTTGCAAATTTAATTGCCCTATTTCAGTAAATTACAATTTCTAGATATATTTGTCGTATAGTGATTATATAAATATATGTATAGTAAAGAAAAATACCATTTAATTCTTTACGAAATAACAAAATCAGATAAATACTATTGAAGTATTAAAAAAAATAGCAAAAATTCACTTAATTTTAATTCTTGTTATAAAAAATATTAATTTGGAGAAAAATTAATTCAAAAATCAGTTTTATAACATGTCGAACGATATAATGATTTTTATTTTTTTTTTTTACATTTTTGTGTTTTCAATAAGCACATTTGTTCTAATTCTGAAATAAAAGAAAAATATATATTATTTGAATATATTTAATTGCAATTTAAATTCGACTGATATAGTTCTTGCTCAAAATAGAGTGACCTAACCTAACCTGTAGAATGATTGGATTGGACTAAACATCTCCTTTACCCGCTACACGAATCAAAAGGCGATATATTAGTTGTCGATAAACTTTAGAGACTTTAGTTAACCAACGGCTCACTTGTGGCGTAGTAATCAAGACTCTCCTCTTCAGAAGTTAGTATAATGCAGAAAGACGATTAAACGATTTTGGTTATTTAAACCAGGTTTTTTCTGTGCTATAATATTAAATTTTCCTCAAAGATGCAACTTTTTGACAAAATATTAATTTGGTCCGGGATATATGACAATGAATCCTTAAAATATTTTTGACTCTTCAACAAAATTTTAGCTCAATCTATAAAGTATTTTATGAGAAAACCTACGGAGAATATTTACATGTGAAATCACATGACCTTAAAACAATATAGCATACATTTTTTTAAAAGGTTGAAACAAAATTATAGTGGAAAAATTAATTTATTTTTATTATATTGTTTAACGTTGTACTTTATATGAGGCAAAAAATTTACAATAACGTATCACGTTGTATAAAGTAACATTCGAGCAGGCAAAAGTACAACGTTAAACAATAATAAAAATACATATTACGGCTTGTGAAAATAAAATCGTTTTGTGAATTTACTATACGTACATATATCGGTGTATAGGTATATATGAGAGATTCTTTTTCAATCGCCCCAGCCCAAAAAGTCAATGTTCTGGGATTGGCTTCATACTTTGGTAAATTGTTGTCCTATATGGATAGTAATAAATCCCTAAAATATAAACTCATTAAAAAAATATTTGTAGAAAGTAGAGGGGGTTGAAGTTTTGACGTTAAGGGTAACATTGTCATTTTCAAATCCGTATAACTATGACAAAAGTTAATGGATTTTAATTTATCTATAATGAATTTTAATGCATTTTTCACGTATTTTTCAAAAATGTATACGAAATTTAAAAAAAAAAAATTTTGACCCCTTTTTTTCAAAATCAACCCTTATTTTTCGATTTTCACCCCTTCGGGTATTTTTTTTTTCTTTTTTATTTTCATTGGAAAGCTGAGGTTTTTTCCCATGAGCTATGTAAATATGAAAATGGGACAACAATAATTTTGTGAGAAATAGAATATTAAAGTAGGCGGTGCCGATAAGGGGTAAACCTGGAGATCATCTTTGAGGATTTAGGTAGGCACCGCCTAATTAAATATTATGTTTCTCATAAAATTATTGTTGTCCCACTTTCGTATTTACATAGCTCATGGGAAAAAACCTCAGCTTTCCAATGAAAATAAAATAAAAAAAAAAATTCCCGAAGGGGTGAAAATTGAAAATTGAATTTAATTTAATATTGGCGGTCAGTACTTGTCAGTAATTGCCAGTACTGGCGCAACACTGCGCCGGTTGTAAATTTTTGCTTGGGTTATACATAATATTTCTGGAGTTCATCCTGAAAATTCCTGACATTTTACAACACTCAGTTTCGTAAGGAGCTGTAACCGCTACTCCGTGATAGTTCTGTAAAATTTAATGAATTAATTTTTTCATTGTAGCCTTTTTGTACCAATGAGAATTATTGAGGCATTTCATATGAGAATACGGGGTCATGAAAAATGTTGTATATGTTTTTTTTCGCAAAAGACCTTAAACTTTTAGAAAAAAATTATTTTAAAAAAAAAAAATATTAATTTTTAAACAATTTGTTTCGAAAATAAAATTTGTTTATAACTTTTAAACATGTTGAAACATTGAAAATCGATGTTTCAGCACCCCACGATACAAGTTGAAGGAGGCTGTCTACCTACTCGGCATGGTATTTTTCAGTCTTTTTCTAAATAACATTTTATAATTAATTTTTGATTCTTGGTAATACTTAATATTCCTTTTTTGACACAGAATTAGATGATCTTCCAAATAAAAAAAGAATTGACGATTTATCTTCATTTTTTCAAATAATATTAATTATTTAAATAATTTTTATTATTAATTATTAATTTAACACCCGTTTATTAGAAATAGTTCATATAGGGTTCGTTGGATGCGGATTTTGATACACGGAAAAAATTAATTCAGTAGATTTTACAGAACTATCACGGAGTAGCGGATACAGCTCTTTACGAAACTGAGTGTTGTAAAATGTCACAAAATATTCAGGATAAACTTCAGAAATATTCAGTGTAAACAATGAAATTTCTGTAGTTTATTCGAAAATATCCATCACATTTTACAAAACTCTGTTAAGAAAAGAGCTGTATCCGCTACTCCGTCACAGTTTTATAAAATATACTGAATTAATTTTTTCCGTGTAAGCATTCTAATGGCGTTTTTAAAATTACTCTAATTTTATTTGTTCGTAAAATATTTTATTTTTTATTAACTTTTGTTAGTTAATTAATTAATATCTCGAAAACAAAAAATAATGCCATCTCAAAAATTTAACCATCAATTTATTATGACTTAAACAATATTTATGATTTTTTTCGCGCTTCTAATTGAGGGAGAACATGTTTAAAAGTTATAAACAAATTTTATTTTTTAAACAAATTGTTTAAAAAACAACATTTACAACATTTTTCTCTATTTTTAGTAGGAAAAAAGAGTTATAAGTAAATTAAAAAAATATTGCTCAAATTTGTTATTGTAAATATCTCGAAAAATATTACAAATTTTAAATTAAAAATTTGTACACTTATTTAGCACCACTATCACTACAATTTACCAAATTTTGAGAAAAATCCGAGACATGACACCCCGTATTCTCATATGAAATGCTTCTATTATTTAAATTTAATTAATTAAAAATTCATTAATTAATTTAATTTTCGACAAATGAACATTGTTGAGCGCAAGTCTATTAAAATTAGAGTACTGACCATAATTTGTTTGGTGAAAAGTTATATATTTAGTATTAAACCATAAATGATCTTAACATCGTGTGATTGTTAGGTCCACAATTTAATTTTGTCGGGAACTTTACCCTTATAATATTAAATTGATTAATGTAAAATTTTGTAAAGTTGTTTAAAATATAATAATAAGGAACGTCTATTGTGTGCGAAAATTGTGTTATTTTGTTTAAATTAATTATCATTTATAATAGTAGTTTAGAAATTTTTAGAAAATTTCAAGTTAGATGTGACGTTACTGTTATCTATTTTCTAATAATTATTTTCCCTGTATAATATATTTCAGTTTCTCAATTGTTTATATTTTTTTGTTAAGTGTCATTGTATATTATAGTAATCTTAAAATATGTACCATTTATGGCCCAGTTTTCTCGAGATTGTTTCGAATTTCAACGATTTCTGAATATATGTATCGTTGTCGTTGGGAAGTACAAAGGGAATCCTCTCAGAGAGAAATTAGAACAGTAACGTCGGCCAAGCACATATATAGTCTTGACAGTGGTGCATTGTTGATAATGTCGGTATTGCTATAAGGGATATGAAACCATCGCCACTTGGCGCGATTAAAGCTCGAAAGAAACGGTGGCGGCGGTGACGACGACGACGAAAAATGCCGAGGGCCATTTTCCGCATAGTGAAATACTGCGCCCAATTAGGCTAATGAGGGAACATGTCTCTGTAAAACGAATTCCAAAATCTCAAATAATAGTAGTGAATGACAAAATTTATAGAGCTCTGTTTTTTTATTTATTTTTTTTTTCTACCAGAATATTGCAATTTTCTTTTAAACACAAGCACTTCAATCCGCAATTCAACTTGACAGCCGATTTCCAACAAAGACGAATTTACCGCCCATTGCTACAAATAAGATATCGCTTTCAAACTGGACGTTTCATTTCAGTCAAACCATTTATTGCTACAAATAAATTGCCTCTAAAATCAATGATTATCCTTTATCTTGTACAATGAATTTGATTTAGAAAATTTTTTAAAAATATTTTTAAAAATATATTTAGTAAAATAAATTAACGTCATGTAATTTTTGTGATTCCGTAAGTTTTCTTAAAAAAATACTTGATATATTGAGCTAAAAAATTTTTAAAGAACTCAAAAATAGAGTATAAGGATACGGTGTAATGTGCCAAAGTATATTAATATTTTGTCAAAAAAAAAAAAAAATTGCATATTTTGGGAAATAACACTGAAAAAAAAAGATTTTGTGTTTGCAACAAAATTGTTTTGTTAGGCAATTTTGGTTTATGTAACCAAATTTTGGTTGACTGAAACAAAGTCGTAGAGTTATCTCAACCAAACATTTGATTAGGCCAACAAAAAACACTCAACCAAATTTTTTGATTGACTCAAACAAATAGTTTGATTTTCTTAAATACCAATAAAATTATTTTGTTGGACCAACTAAATTTTCTTTATTCTAATCAAACATTTTTTTCAGTGAACTGAAAATTGTATTGCCACATTAAATATTTCTCAAATTAACCATTTTTTAAAAAATAAATTTGTTGGGAAAATATTAATACTCTGGTACATAACAATCGCGATTGTTATAATTATTTTTGAGTTGTCCAGAAAATTTTAGTTAACAATGATTTAGAATTATAATTTGTTATTATAATACATAAGATTTGCTAATAATATTATTTATGTTTATAAATTATAATTTTAGTTTTAATGGAACATTTATTTAATTTATCATTGGAATATTTCTAGTTTATTAATATAATAATTATTTATTTATTTACAGTGACGTGACAATGTGATGGTTACATTATAATAAAATTTTCCTTTTTTCCAGACAAGTTCAGAATTTACAGCAGAATTAGCAAAACGAGGTGTCACAGTGTCACAATACGCAGCCCAAACTTACGATGCTGTTTGGGCAGTGGCTGTAGCTATGAATAAATCTGAAGCATTTTTAAACAAGAAAAATGTCAGTTTTTCTCAATATTCTCATAAGAGACAAGACTTGGCATACTATCTTCTTGGACAAATGAAGGACTTGCATTTCAATGGAGTTTCGGTAATTATAAGCAAATTTTTTTATATAACGCTAACCGGGGTAATTATACCATTCCATGGGCTATTTTATACCCATCGACATTTATTATTTTTACTATTATTATTATTATTATTATTATTATTATTTAATGAATAAAATTTTTATTTTAAATTATTTAAACATGATACTTGGTGTAAATTTGATAATTTGGACTATACAAAGGGCACTAAATATTATCAGAAAATCAAATGTTCGAATTCGAAAAAAAATAAAATTTCTAAAAGTAAGAATTTTCGAGACACATGAATAATGTCAAAAATTAATTTGTTAGAATTTTTATTTAATAGAATTTCATTAAATAGAATTTTCTTTTAGGCGAATTTTTATTTGTTCAAAATTATTTTTTGGAAGAAAATTCTATCTACTGAAAATCTATTAAAAAAATTCTATAACAAATAAATTTTAGTCATTTTTCATGCCAAAAAATACCAAAAAATCAAAATTCTAAAACTTCGAATTTCCAATTGTTCGAATTATCAAAAGATCGAAATTTTTTTACTTATGCGAGTTTACTTTCTATGATTTATATAGCTAAAATGAATTCTATTCGTGCACAAAATTTAAATATTCTAAATCCTATTGATTTTGAATTTTACGCTCAAATAGAATCCATTATGGATAAATAAAGCATAGAAAGTAGTCTCACATGAGGAAAGTCTTTTTTTTGCCACTGACATGAAAAAGTGTCTTTTTTGTGCCTGTTTTGGGCAGATAAAGTAGCACTTTTTAAGGCAGTTTGGGCCAACTGCGAAAAAAATAGCGTATGTGGCTCGCACGTAGTAATTTTTAGGTTCGGATGATTTCAATACTCGCTGTCTGTGCGACTTCGGTTCGACTTGGCTCGCCTTCGTCTCACCTACGTCGCACTAACGACAGCTCGTACTGAAAATTACAGCCTCACATAAAAAGTACTACTTTACGTGCTTGCCACATAATATACTATTTTTTATCTTTTAATAATTCGAACAATTGTAAATTCAATTAAATAAAAATTCGAACTTTTAAACTCGATCTTTTGGTAATTTTAACTTTTAGAAATTTAGGTTAACTTTTAATATTTCAAGAGAATTCACATAAGTAAAATCTTCTGCAACCTTGCCTGAATGTCAACTAATTAGATAATATTAACCGAATAAAAGGTTCAATATAAATAGAATGTCAGTTACATTTTGATTCAAATATATTTTTTCAGTGTAAGAAAAATAATTTGAGAACTTCATTAATTATGTATTTGTTTTATTAAAAAGTTTTAATATTAAATTTAAATTTCATAATTTCGTTAACGAACGCATTGCAGTAATCGAAAAAGAAGTATTAAAATAATTTTAAAAAAATATGTATGTAAATTTAATTTCTAACCAACAAAAATACACAATTTTTACGTCTATGAAGTTGGCGTCGACGCTCAACGTCGAAAATTATTTTTCACAGGACCAAAAATGACAAATCATTTTGATAATTTTGATAATTTTTCTGGATACTGGCATTCGGTATTGATTTAATACTGACCGAGTACTGGTTTGCCATTACTGTCTCAATAATACTGGCACAGTATTGGAAAATACTGGCATGCCAGTATTGGCTTGCAGTATTGGCACAGTACAGAATTTAATCCATATCTGTACTGAACCAATACTGGTAAGCAAACTGTCGGACAGCCAGTATTGGTGCATGATTGCACCTGTTGTCAATATCGGCGTTTGACAGAAATTTTTGCTTGGGTTAGACATTTGAATTTTTAACAATAATTCTATCTTTTGATAATTTGAACTTTTGAAATTTTAATTTTATGATAAATCGAATTTCTAAAGATTAGAAAAAAAATTTGTGAAAAATTATTCGTTATTCGACAATATATTTTTCCCTTTTTTTTATTTTCAAAATGAATCTTGGTTGTTTCATTTTGATACATTTTAACGTAGTTTCAAATTGAAATGAGGAGTTTTCTATTTAATGCGTTGCAAATTTAGTAGCGTACGCTACTCAAATTATGATCCCAGGTTTTTTTTGTGTATACAACTGAAAAATTACTAAAGAAATATAGGTATCTAAAAAATATATAAATAGAAAAAACGACGCATGAATATTTTCCATATTGAACAGAAAAAAAAAATTGGTGTGATTTTAACACTAATTCTAGGTGAAAATAAAACTTTGATTTTTGTTTTCTGTATATATATATATATAGTAAAATCATTAAATTTCTCGAAAGTAAATGAAAGTCTACATTATAATAATAAATGTGTAAAGGTGTGAAGTTGAGAATAGATCCTTTCTGCAAGTGGAAATAAGTAATAAAATGTCCATCAAGTTTGTGAAAGACAAAAGAAGTTTTACTCGAAGGAAAATACAGGATTAATAGCAGACTGATTCTAAACATTAAACTGTGTAGTGTGCATTCATCTAGAAATAACGAGTTCCGTCAAGAGCTCAAGAAAGTTCAAGTAGTCTTCTCTCTTCTTCGGTATTAACTTTGGGAGTAATTAATGGAAGAAAACGTAAATTGAGAGTTTGCAGGCTTATTGAAGGAGAAGTTATGATCTCATTTTTGAACGATTACTTAAGACCATTTAAATTCCGTTAAATTTTCAGTTTTTATATAATAAATAAATAATTTTAAGATATGTGACGTTCCACGTAAAAAGGGACCTTAAAGGCAAAATTTTTTTTAGATATATTTAGTGATAAACATTGCGTCGAAAAAATGCTATTTCAGTTGCCAATTCAATATTCAATTCAGTTTCTAATTGATAGAATTTTCATTTTTCCGAAATTGGACATGGCCGAACAAACAATCGACAGAAAGATTTCGGTGCGATTTTTAAAATCAACCAATTACAATTTTATGGATAATTTTTGATTGGTCGATTTGATTGTCGATTGTTTGTTTCGCCATTTGCTTACAGATGTTAAGTAATGTTTGCTATCGGATCTATCAAAATTAGTAACCACAGCTAAATTTTTTGCTCTGGCAACGAAAAAGTTTACTGTGACAAACAATAATAGTATTAATTTTTAAAAATTGACTGTCACAGCAAACTTTCTTGACCCCACAGAAAATTTATTCGCTGTCTCTATATTAGCTGTCGTAATTTTATGTGACAGCAAATAATTCACTGCCACAGCAAACTTTTTCTATGCGTGTATATATTTTCAATCTAAAAATCACAAATATAACCTAAAATTTTTTGCCTCTAAGGTCCCATTTCTCGTGGAGCTTCACATAATGATGATTTTCGAATTTTTCCTCTATAATAATTTCAATCAGAAAACTGACGAATAAGATAAAATTTGTAGCTTGCTTTTATTATATAAGTATTGAAAAAATAATATCCATGGTTTCTAATTACAGGGTCCAGTATCATTTGATGGTGCAGATCGTGTTGGAATAACAGCCTTCTATCAAATGCAGGGTAAGTGATGAATATTTTATATAATTTCTATAATAAATTTAAATTCTAATTTTTTTCTAATTTTCCCCGTCAAATTGACTCTCAATTTTGATGATGAATTTTTACTAAAAAGATTAACAGGTCTATCTTTTGGTATATATTTGAATCCGCGTGTTTAAATTTTAACCATTAAATGAATATAACGTGTAATAGCTGTTGATTGTCACTCATATACGTGTGACTATATATATATATATATATATTGATACTAGACGTAGACTGCGCGCGCAAGCGCGCGCCTTTTAGGTTGGTATTTCTTACTTGACCAGAAATAAGTAAAGAATATTCATATTGCAAATGTCAAAATGTGTTATGATTGAAAATTAGTCAAAAGTTCAATCTTTTGTCGATAATAATTTATTTGACCGGAATTTATGAAGTCAACACTCTTAAAAGTCGACATTTTATTAGAATGCTTTTATATGAAATTGGTTTGTCATTTTCTAGAAAGGATATAGAACCATCTTGAAACTTAATGAAACTGTCTAGAAACTTAATGAAAACTTTTAGAATCTTCATAGAACGTTCTAGTAAATTTATAAAAACTTATATAAATTCCGTAGAATTTTCTAGAAATTTCTTGAAATTTTTGAGAAACTTTGTGGAACATTATATTCACAATACCTTGTACTATCTTCATGGAATTATCTAGATACTTTATGGAACCTTCTAGAAACCTCATAAAACTTTTTAGGGTTTTCATTGTAAATTTCTAGAAACTTCATGGAACTTTCAGTTCATAGAACTTTTCAGAGTTTTCATGAAACTTTCTAAGAACTTCATGGAACTTTCTAGGAACATAATGAAATGATCTAGAATCCTTATGGAACTTTCTTTTCATGAAACCATATAGAGTCTTTATGAAACTTTTTTAAAACTTAACTGAACTTTCTAGAAACTTTCCAGAATTTTCAAGAAACTTAATGAAACTTTTTAGAGTTTTCATAAAATTTTTTAGAAACTTAATGAAACTTCGTAGAAACTTCATAAAGCCTTCTAGAATTTTTGTGGAATTTTCTATAAACGTCGTGGAATTTAAAAAAAGAACTTAATGAAACTTTTTAATGTCTTCATGGAACTTCATAGAAACTTAATGAAACCTTCTAGAATCTTTACAGAACTTTCTAGAACGTTTTATGAAGCCTTTTAGAAATTTCATAAAACCTTCTACAATGTGCATGGAACTTTATAGTAACTTCATGAAAACTTCTAAAATATTCACGGAAATTTCTAGAAACTTCATGGAACTTTCTGTTCATAGAACTTTTCAGAGTTTTCATGAAACTTCCTAAAAACTTCATGGAACTTTTCAGAAACTTCATAAAACCTTGTAGGAACTTAATGGTACTTTCTTGAAATTTCATAGAACCTTATACCTAGAAAGTTCGTAGAACTTTTGAAGAAACTGAATGAATAACCTTTTAGAATCTTTATGGAACTTTCTATGTATAAACTTTGTAGAACTTTTTGGAAACATAATGGAAAATTCTAGAAAATCTTCATCAAAATTTTTAAAACTTCATGACAATATATAGAAAATTCAGGAAAGCATCTAAAAATTTCAAGAAATCTTCTGAAATCTTCATGGATCCTTTTAGAAACTTGATGAAACTTTCTAGAAACCTAAAGAAATATTTAAAAATTATATTTCACCTTTTAAAAACTTTATAGAATTTTCTAAATATTTTATGGAATCTCCTAAAATCTTTGTTTATGAAGTAGAATATTTGCTAAAAAAATATTTACCTAAATATACACATTTTGAAAACCATCAAACCTAAGCAACTTTTCTTTATGAACCAAAAAGTAATAAATAAAAAATTAAAATCACAAACAATTTTTTTTAATTAGAATGCTTTTATTATGGCGTAGAAAAGTAGAACTATAAAAATTTTAATAAAAGAATAAATGTCCGATAAAATATTTTAATTTATTGCAAATATTCATTATGGCAGATTACATCAAAATGAAACATGACAGTTTTAAATAGTTTGTCGAATTTTTCAACAGTTATACTTCTATCTTTTGGGCGCATGAATAAGTTCTAAAATTAATTTGTTAGAATTCCCATTTGTTAGAATTACATTAGATAGAATTTTCTTTTAATCGAATTTTTACTTGACCGAATTATTATTTTACAGAATTTCTGTTTATCCGATTTTTTATATGATAGAATTTTTATATAACCGAACATTCAATTGACAGAACTTCTATTTGATCGCATTTTTATTTCTCACAATTTTCATATACTCGATTTTTTGTTAAACAGAATAGTCATTTAGACAATTTCTTATTAGACAGAATTTTAATATAAAGAATTTACTTTTATCCAAAGTTTCATTTTTTAGAATTATTATTTCACAGAAATTCTATTTCATCGTTTTTTCACATTATAAAATTGTTACTTAACCAAATATTCATTTAACAGAATTTCCATTTGATCGAATTTTTATGTGTCAGAATTTTCATCTTTTCGAATTTTCATTAAACAGAATATTCATTTAAATGAATTTTTATTAGGTATAATTTTAATAGAAAGAATTTACTTTTAGCGGAATTTTTATTTCTTAGAATTATTATTTAGCAGAATTTTAATTTAATCAATTTTTTACATTGCAGAACTTTTATGTAGTCGAAATTTTATTCAACAGAATTTCTATTTGATCGAATTTGAATTTGTCCGAATTTTTATTAACTCGAATTTCCATTAAACAAAACACCTACTTATTTAGACGAATTTTTGTAAGACAGAATTTCCATTTCACCGAATTTTTATTTGTTCGAATTCTTATTTGAACGAATTGTTATTTGAAAGAATTCTTAAAACATCGAATTTGCATTTGATCGAATTTGCAAATGGTTGAATCGTTTTTGCCGGAAGCTTATTCGCCAATTGGAAATTCGGTCAAATGCAAATTCGACTTTTTAAGAATTTTTTCAAATGACAATACGTTCAAATAAGAATTCGAACAAATAAAAATTCGGTGAAATGGAAATTCTGTCTTACAAACATTCGTCTAAATAAATATTCTGTTTAATAGAAATTCGAGTTAATAAAAATTCGGACAAATGCAAATTCGATCAAATAGAAATTCTTTAAATAAAATTTCGACTAAATAAAAGTTCTGCAATGCTAAAAATTGATTAAATTAAAATTCTGTTAAATTATAATTCTAAGAAATGAAACTTCCGCTAAAAGTAAATTCTTCCTATTAAAATTCTACCTAATAAAAATTCGTTTAAATGAATATTCTGTTTAATGAACATTCAAAAAGATGAAAATTCTGACACATAAAAAATCGATGAAATGGAAATTCTGTTAAATGAATATTTGGTTAAGTAATAATTTTATAATGTGAAAAAACGATGAAATAGAAATTCTGTGAAATAATAATTCGGTACACTTAATTTTAAAATAATTATTACAAACAAAATATTTATCCTTCCTTCTAAATAAAAAAAATTATGAGAGAAAAAATATTATTCAACACGTTCTTCATGACAGAAAATTTAATAAACATAATGTTCATTTTTGTACATAAAAAATTAATCAAACTTCAAAATTTTCATTAATTATTTATACTACAAAGTAACATTTTTTTATTCTGAGAAACAATACTTGAAGATTGTTTGGAAAAATAAGTTTTAAGAAAATTCGACCGTACATATTGCTTTCATTCATTTACTGACTGAAAACGTTGCTTGACAAAGATGACTGACGCACACACCACTTTTATTTCTGTGTGTCGGTAAATCTGTACGCGGTCAGATCGTGTCTGTTTTACGCTCTTGCGAGACGAAGATGACAAATAAGAATTCGACCAATGGAATAGACGCCACGGCGACAATCGACCAATGGGATAGGCGTTACTATAGATCGAGAGTTTATCGTTTAGAGATTTCTTATATAGGATATGTACACAAGTGGCATATAGTGACAATGTGGCCACGTAACGATGTTACAGTTAGTGCTAAACGGAAATACGGTCGAATGATTCCATTGAGATTTCCATTGAGAAACTCATAGTCGTTCGATAATGAGCTTAAACAGAGCAGAATCAGATATCCTGAACGCAGCTGGCATTTGAGATTAGTTGGTAGTCAATATCAGAAAGACGCCATTTTCTATTGTGGATTATGCTTTCAATGTCGAAGTTCGAATTGCAACTCTCAATTAAAACAAAAGGGCTTTTTCAATTCACAAACACTTAATTAAATCTAAATGTTTTATTTTTACTATTCAATAAGTTTTCAAAGTTGACAATATTGGAATCAAAATTCAAAATTGAATTTTTTTTTCTATTGAGAAAAGGTATTGAAGTAAAATCAAGAATGGAATATAAGGAGACTAATAAAATCTCTCTTAAGATAAGGGAATAGAAATGTCTGGCAACAGATGTGATGGCGAAATTATTTTATAAATGCAATATAATTATTGATGGAGGAAATAATAGTTTGCTTTCTATATAAATTATTTCTTTAGTGTAATTTATATGAGAAATATTAACCATAGTAATAATGTTAAACATTGATTAAGAAATAATGAAAATTTAATTTTAAAATAATATTGTTTAATATAATTTTGAAAATACATATATATATATAAAGTTTAATCAAACTGTTGTACACAAAGTTTAAGGAAATAGTTTAAAACATTTTACGAACTTAACAAAGTTTGAGTATCTCTAATAGGTTTCCTGAGGTAAACGATATACGTATACTATCTTAGTAGATAGACTTACGGTTTCAAAGTACAGAGACGCTAAAGTTTATCATAAACTTCATTTGTATGTGAATGGACAGATCTAATTCTATTTCCAACATTCATCATATACCTTTCACAAAATTCATTCAATTTCACACTGCCATTCATTCAATTTAACAAATCTTTACGATAAAATCAATTGGACAATATACATTTTATTGATGAATGTACATGCTATTAAATGTGTATATATATA